CGCCAGAAATGCTACCCCTTTGAGATACCAAATTGTTTTCCAGCAAAAGATGATAAATAGAATATGATTCTACTGGCTATAGTCAAGGAACTCTCCCTGGTTTAACCATGAAACTCTGAAGGCACTCAGCAATGCAACCTGTAGACTCCAACGTGTCTCTGGTACTACAGCGAGGAGAAAATCTCCGATCTCTCCTAATCTGGAACTCAAAGGAAATGCTTAGCCCAAGGACTATAATAAATCTTGGATATATATTTAGCATCTTGCCATAGGTAAGACTACTTTTTCTTCTGATTTAGCCAATCAAAATTTATGGTGCAAATGACTTTTAAGAGGGAATAGACACTATCTTTTGTTCTATCAAGGTATGTCATGAGGAGCTGATATCTGCTATTAAAAAAACCCCAAATATTTCAAACATTGTTCCAAAAAGTGATGCTCCTAATATTTAAAAACAGTATTATCTCCTGGAACATCATTTACTTTTTCAATAACAACATGAGGTCGAGAAATAGTCAGTGTCGAAAGGTCACTAGACCCTGGCCAACCAAGGCTCTGAACCATGATTTCACCATATATTTTTCTTACATTATATATAATCTAAAAAAGGGTTAATCACATACTCCTATTTCTGTGCTGTTGGCTTACAATTTCTATGATTCCAGATATTGGCCATATTGATAGGGTGGTGATAACTGAAGTAGAACTTCCAACCACTTTTCCTAAAAATATGATAAAGTTATTCTTTGTTTCTGCAACACAAAGATGTAAAAGGCTGTATAGTCTTAATTAGAATGAATATGATTAATAATTATATGGAGAGAAACTGCCTGTTAACACAAATAAGATGAATTTGATTAAATTAACATATTTTCTAGATTAAATCAGCAAAGCCTAAAAGCACAACTAGAAATATTCCCCTAGTTTGCATTTTTTATACAGGATCAACAGTCAAAGACACTTCCTTGTTAACTACATTGAGCATTAGGTTTTCTTTGCAAAAATATTGTTTTCAAGGTTGTCACTCTTCAGTACAAGGAGACATGTTCTTTAAATAGATACTGAAACAAGATCTTCAAAATTAATAAAGTTAAATCATATTTAGCTTCTAATGTTCTATAAATCATTGAAATTAAATCAAAGAATAACTTTAACTACTTTCCAATTTTATGAAATACAGGAAGAAAGAATCACCATGCCCTTTTTTAAAAACTGGGAAGAAAATGAACTGTATCTTTTAAATGTTAAGCACTAGAGTAGATCGTGACAGAGATGAAAAATATAATGAAAAAACATAGTTAGTTATAGTAGTAAAGTTGGAAGGGACCTTGGAGGTCATCTAGTCCAACTCCCTGCTCGGGCAGGAAACCCTACACCATTTCGGACAAATGGCTGTCCAGTCTCTTCTTAAAAACTTCCAGTGTTGGAGCATTTACTGCTTTTGGAGGCAAGCTGTTTCACTGATTAATTGTTCTCACTGTCAGGAAGTTTCTCCTTAGTTCTACATGGAGCAGAGTATACAGTAATCATTTCAAAGTTTACTGGTGTAAATACATTATTTTTATTTACTATATTTATTTAGTGAATGTACTCCTAAATAAATAATCCTAAACCTATTTACATTTAAATTCCAAGAATCATGACCCTAATCAAACAAGATTTCTCTGGTTTCTTTTCTCTAGCTCAAATGAAGTAAGAAAGAATAAAAGGTTAATGCAACTTTCTGCAACCCCAGTGCCCCCCATCAAATTCTGATGTTTTACTGCTTTTATCCCCAGCCAACAGATTAAAGGAAATCTAGTGTGCGCTCGTGGCTCCAGAGAAGTTAAAGAACTTTATTGGCTTTCAAAAATATTCAAGAGGTATGTTTACCATGACTTACCAGATACAATTCAGCCATATTTTATTTTTCAAACTTGCAAGTTATTGTTAGCATATGATTTCAAGGGAATATGTAACACCTGGGGCTTTTAATTTCAGAGCTTTAACAAGGAGGCAAATTCCTTCATACTCAGCTTAGTATTAAACAATTTGCTTTACTAACCACTACAACATATTCATGTCGTTTATAAACATAATGCAGAAACTGATTGCAAACCAGATTAAAAAGATATATACTTGAAGTATAAATGATCTCTTCATTGAACAAGTTCTATTATATTCAAATTTTATTGAGAAACTACTGATCTGCAACTTTAGACTGAAAGACTGAAAATCCAGTGGCACTATTGGGATCATCCAACTCATTGGTGATTATCTTTATTTTCATAAACTGAAACATATATGCGTGTCTCTAGCTACATATTTACAAGAAAAAAAGACCTTAACACATACTCATCAATATTTTCATTTATATAATATTTCATAGGTCTCAGCCTGGTGCTCGGGATATAAACGACTCTAAACATCAATGGCCATCAGGTGCTTTCCTTGTTATTAAGTATCCAGCCCACCAGCATAAACACACACTCACACCCAGAGGAGTGTGGAAAGATGGGAAACCTTTAGGAAGCCTCTTTACTTCAAAGAATACTCTAGGCCCCAAAATGGCCTCTATAAGCTTTCTTAAGGGAAACAAAGGATGGAATGGTTACAATCCTATGGTTGTTTGGAACTGTATTCACTGGCCCAGAAAACTGGCAAAAGTAAACAGACCTAAGAGTGTTCTGCAGCAGGAAGAACTAAGATGATGATGATGATGATGATGATGATGATGATTGGGTGCAATCCTAAAACAACTGGAACACTATTTGAACACCATTGACATTGACAAATTCACCATCAGTCAATTGCAAAAGGTGGTAAGGACTCCATAGGTAGACAAAATATCAAACCCAATTGAAAATCTGGCTGACTGTGCGATGAACAACAACAATAATTTTCAATTATTTTAAAATTGCATATCAAAATCAAATAGCTGTCTGGATCATCAGTCCTTTGTACTTGGTTATGTTCTCTGGGGCAGTCATTTTATGAATAGGTAAATCTCTTCAGAAGTGATTTTGCAAGTTTACCCATAATCTTTGAAACATTTGATAACAAATATTGTTGCAACCCAACTGCTTAAAAATAATTATTTTAAATACACATAGGAAGCAGATTCCAAGCTATATCAAATCTAACTTCTTCACAAAATAAACAGTTTGACTCTAAGAAGGTAGTTATCAGAAAGAAAGAGTGATTGAAAGGATACTCTTAATAAGCGACAATCTGTGTTTGTTTTTAAATTATACTCCTAGGATAAATTACATATTCCTGGCCATATTTGCCACTAAAAACAAGTGCTATTTATAAATAATTGATTTAACAATTTGTTATTCTGAATATATTAAGAGGTCTCTCTTGATAGAAGTGTTCTTAAATTGAAAATATAAATCAAATAGAAACTTTTGAAGAAGGCAATTTAAGAATACTACTATGTCCATATTTTTACTATTCACCAGTTCAGAAAAATGTTCTGTATAGTTATGCAACTTGTTTCTCCATTTCCTTTATTTAAGGTGCCACAAGAGGAATGACAGGTATCTAATCTATAATTTTTTGAATCAAAAATACTTTTCTATCATTTCACAATCAAAAGTGGATCTTTAAAGTCTCATTATCTAAAAATAGCTGGTATGTTCTGCTACTGTGATTTGAAGTTTAGATATTATATTTTGATCACCAACTTTTAGTACTCCAAACAAAGCAAAGCCAAAATCTAATTAAAATCTTGTAAAACTTTTACGTTCAGGTAATTTTACATTTGAGATTAATAAATGTCATATAAATGTTCTATAAAATATTTTTTTGAAGTTTCTTAAATACTATTAGTATGATCTCATTTAATAGGGTTTTTAATTATTATAGCTGAAGATCATAATATTAACTATTATGACTTCAATCTGTAAATATTTAACACCAAAAAGAGCTATCACTTAAATATAAGCCAGCAATGTGCTGCAGCTGCCAAAAAGCCAACACAGTTCTATGCTGCATTAACAAAGGGATAGAATCATGATCACATGAAGTGTTGATACCACTTTATAATGCCTTGGTAAGGCCACACTTGGAATACTGCATCCAGTTTTGGTCATCACGATATCAGAAAAACGTTGAGACTCTAGAAAGAGTGCAGAGAAGAGCAACAAAGATGATTAGGGGACTGGAGGCTAAAACATATAAAGAACGGTTGCTGGAATTGGGTATGTCTAATTTAATGAAAAGAAGGACAAGGGGTGACATGATAGCAGTGTTCCAATATCTCAGGGGTTACCACAAAGAAGAAGGAGTCAAGCTATTCTCCAAAGCACCTGAGGCAGGACAAGAAGCAGTGGATGGAAAATAAGGAGAGAAGCAGTCTAGAACTAAGAAGAAATTTCCTGACGATTAGAACAATTAACTAGTGGAACAATTTGCCTTCAGAAATCATGGGCGCTCCATCACTGGAGGTTTTTAAGAAGAGACTAGGCAGTCACTTGTCTGCAATGGTATATGTTCTCCTGCTTGAGCAGGGGGCTGGACTAGAAGACCTCCAAGCTCCCTTCCAGATTCTATTCTATTCTGTTCAATCTTTGTATTTCAGATTTCCACTATGTTTCAAAACATCCCTTAAATTATAAAGTATTTTCAAATGCTGACATTCTTTGAAATTCTGTCCTTATTAGAAAGCCAAACCACCTGGATATATTATCACCCCTTGAGCTCATTTAGTAGGAAAGAGCTGGATTCTCTTGCACTATGAAATATTTGAATTTAGATGACACAGGCTGATCTTCAAAATGCATGCATAATATTTATGGAGTACTTCTTGAGCGGTGATTGCCTGATTCAGACATATATGGGTTGTACATTATTCACAAACTCATTGCCTTCCGTGCTCTCATTCATGCAAAAGGTTAGCTCAGAATTTCCAGCAATGTAAAATGCTTAACATTGCTTAAAGAAGTATCATACAACTGAATGGTCGTTATGCTTACAACCTTAGAAATACAGTAATTCCTGGAATGTATTTTACTTACTCTGTTGAGACAGCTGCTGTTTAAAATAATTTGTACAAGTCTTTCCATAGAGTCTTCCAACTTTTTTAAACACCTTCCCAATATCCGACAAGAAAAATCAGCATCATTTAATAATTTAGCTATGATAAAAACAGCCTGAGTCATAAAATCTGGAAAGGGTTGTTCAGGAAGGTTATATGATGTAACCAGACCATCGAGTAACTGGGAAAAAGAATTGGACACCACGGAGCAATCCCTTCCAAGTTTCATCAAATCCATTTTCATACTATTGGACTCTGCCAGATTTCTTATTTCAATGAAATGTTGTAGGAACTGCATGTGCAGCATCACAGATTGATTCTTGCTGGAAGTCAATGTGGGAAGTACATTTGACAAAATGGGAGGGGGAAAACTGTTGAAATCATGTCCCCTGAGGCTTAAGCTAGGCAGGTTTTCTGTACAATCACTTGAGATATCACACCCAGAGTCTTCAAAAAGGTCACTGCAGTCTGTTGTATTAGAAGCTGCCACAGACTGGCCTGTAAGTGGCATAATCCCTGAAAGACAAGAAGAAAACTAGACATCCGTATATTATAATGGATGGAGAACTGGATTCTAAGTCAAGAGACCTGAGCGGGACTCAAAATTTCTAAACATATTACATTAAGCTTCAAAAGCTCCTAATGCTTCCGTTGTTTTCAATCAATGCCATTGAACAATTAGAAAATCATATTAAAAGTTTTATCTAGTTTTCATAGTCATAGTGTAATTTACTTAGAGGAAACGACTGCTTTTTCTGCAAGTGTCATCTATGTCTAACAAAGGTATGACCATTTTCTGTATTTCTCCATTAATGGAGTAACATGTAAGCCTCTCTATTATTGAAAAGAATGGTGAAGTCAACAAATAGGCTCTTAAGGAATATGGCCCCAGCATCTTAGACCCTGTTCTTAACCCTATCTCTCAGTCAACAGACCTTCAGAGTGCAGGCTTTTGGGTGCTGCTATTGAAGTTATCCTTATTTGTGATCTGATCACAAATAAAAGGAGCGACGTGGTGTGTATTACCAAAACCTGACTGGCTTTTAGGGCAGTTGTGTGAATTCAAAGATGCAGATAAGGGCAGGGAAAAACTTGACCAGTTTAATTTAATTTAATTGATATAATCATATCTTTAATAGTAACCCTCCTCTATTACATAAAAAATAAAATTATGTGGCCACTTTTTGGAAAACCTCTGGAGAGCACATTCAAGGCTTCAGGGGTCTACACACAGCAAAAACAAAAATAGGTTGTGATCCCAAAACCTAGAGGAGTTTGCAGCCTGCTACTGCTCAAAGAGGCAGTGAAGTCAGCAAGAGATTTGGGCAACTCATCAGTCTTCCATGCTGTCTAGCTGTATCTATTCAGCTTTACTTCATTTTAAGTTCAAATACTAATGGCAAGGCGATTCATAATTTCCCACATATATGAATAACAGTTATTGTTAAATCAGTGGTTCTCAACCTTTCTAATGCCGTGACCCCATAATACAGTTCCTCATGTTGTGGTGACCCCCAGGGGCGTGGCCAAAGAAAAGGGGGGAAAATGGTGGACAGCCTTGTTTGGCGACCCCCGTGAAATGGTCGTTCGACCCCAAATGGGGTCCCGACCCACAGGTTGAGAACCACTGTGTTAAATAGATAATTACTAGAAATATATTTGAAACTTACTGTTTTTTACACTGACTCCAGAAAAACATTTATTCAAAAGGAGCTGTTGCCTTAAATGAAGAACTTCCATTTCTAATGCTTTAACTCTCATTTTCCATTTGGAATCCTGTTCAGATACTCTATTGGCCAGGTGCACTGCGTATTCTTTGCTGCTTTTATCTGGTGGCTTGGATCGGATAATTGCTAAAGCCAGTGCCAACTGCAACGTTTTGAAATACCATGTTGCATCTTCTTTATCTTTTATGTCTGTTAGAATGAAAAAAAAAGCCATATTAGATACTTCTCTCCAATTAAAAAGTTGCTTTATATTTTATTTATTCAATGATCTAAAAGAAGTATTTTAGCTCTGGAAAGGCTTACATTAATCCAAAGATTCAGACAAGACAAGAAAAATTAAAAATTGCAGTGACATGTTGTCAAAAATAAATTATGAATCAAAGGACTCTCATACTATGCTAACATATAAGGACCTGATTTTATGAAACTTTAGATAGTGTCTATGTATACTTGTAAGTGTACAAATACATTCTATTAAATTAAAATTCAGAAGCTATGTCCTAGTCCCGTGGTGGCGAACCTATGGTACGCGTGCCACAGGCGGCACGCAGAGCCCTCTCTGTGGGCACGCACGCCATCGCCCCAGTCCTAGGCCTTCAGTCCTGTACATGAGAAACCTGCATCAAAATCTCCCCAGGCAAGCTGAGTTTTATAAAACTTTTTCGCTTTAGGCCTCTGCCATGTGCAAAAAAAGTTCAATCAATCAATGAATTTCAACTTCTCGCAGGGAAAAAAAAGATCTCGCAAAGTTAGAATTGATTGATTGAACTTTATTTTTAGTCCCATACAGCGGCGGAGGAAGTGACGCATTGGAGCTGGAAAGAAGGTGCCACGTGGGGGTGGGGAGAGCAGCATTAGCAGGGCACTCCATGCAGGGGTGGGGCGGGGTCTGTGGAGAAGCAACGCGGTGGCGCTAGCATGGTGGTAGGCCAGTCGCTTCCCTCCCCCTGCCAGACATCTGCCAAAGCCGAGTAAGACAAGGTTGCTGCGCCGGCCCCCAAGAGAATATTTATGCTTTACCTGATGTGAAGCCACTGATTCAGGCAGTGGCTGTGAAAACAGCTGAGTCCATGGTCATTCTAGATTCTCAGTCTTTAAATATTCAGTTGAAAGATGAAATACAGATACTAATTCTGATTAATAATGAGCAAAAGTTGCCTTTTCTCAGAGTTTTTCCATATCCATCCCAACACCTAAATCTGTGTTGCTAATGTTTCTCTTTAAAGGCCTTTAATTCAGGGGGAATCCAACCAAATTTGGATTTCAACTATCTCTATAAATAAACAGCATTATGAGCAAATAGTACACAATAGTACATAATACATACAAATAGTACATATGCATGTTATGAAGATGATTTGGACAAAGTGTTTTGGATCTCATGTGAACATAGAATTTCTCATTTATTTACTATTTTCCCAAGTTTGAAAACAGATCCCTTTGCTTTCAGAGGTTTATTAAAGATTACTTTAATGATTCTATTCATTAGAAGAGTACCAACTCTTCTCAGGGTCAAGTAGAAGCTTGAAAAAAGATTTGAGTGCTTTAATTTATAGGGGCGGTACTGTATTCACATGAGATTCAAACCACGTCTTCTGAATAATTTTCAAAACACAAAGCTTTATTAGCTACTATACATTACAAAAAAGTACTTTATAAACAACTGCTTGAAATAAACTATTACATAATTAATAGTTTATGTATATTTATAATTGCTTGAGTTATGTTGGCTTTTAACAAACAAACTACAACATTTGCTTGAAAAGATGTTATTTAATCTCTAAAATAATTACCTTTGTACTGGAGTATGTTTAATGCACATCAGTAAATTTGCAAGCAACCACACTCATTGAGGAGAGGACCCTTTTAACTCTGTTCACAAAGTGACTACTAGAAACGAATTAATTGCTTGAATCAGGTTTTTATTTAAAAGATGATGATATGTCTGAAAGGGGGATATTAATTCTTTCTTAATGAAAAAAAAAGAACTCTATGAAAATGAGACAAAGTAAACAAGCTTGGCATTAGACCAGATAGGATTTGTGTTTCGGTTTATCACTGTTATCCCTGTCTGCTCTTCTGTTTTGGAGAGTTGATCTAAATGCGGGATTGTCTTCCTTTTGGGTAAACACAATAATTTTACAAGCAATGCTAATTTTCATATTCGCCTATAAAAAGGTAAAGATTTCTCCTGTCCAGTTATGTCCGACTCTAGGGGGCAGTGCTCATCTCTGTTTTCTAACCGAGGGAGCCAGGAAGACACTTCCATGGTCATGTGGCCAGCATGACTATATGCTGAGGCACACGGAACGCTATTGCATTCCTACCAAAATGGTACCTATTTATTTACTTGCATTTGCATGCTTGCAAACTGCTAGATTGACTGGAATATAGCAATCTATTAATTTAGATCCTTTTAGTACTTTCCAATGTTGTACAGTTAACTAAAGGGAAAAAAACCTAGCCATCTATTACAGCTGAAAAAATAATAATTCACCTATTTGTATGAATTTTCTAGACCAAAAAAGAAAAGAACTTTAGCCAAGCCAGAACATGATGAAGAGTTGGAAAACTTAAGAAATAGTCTGACTGTTTTTATACAAACTCAAAATTCCTCTCTTAAAATATTTTACTTCATATTAAAGGATTAGAACATTAAGGATTATGAAACCACAAAAGCAGAAAATGTGCTTACAACTTTGACGCCAACCCACACTTTTTGTAGTCCCTATCTCTTACCTATAGGGACCACAAAAAAGAACGAGTCCCAAAATGTACAAACATCTTTTTTTAATCCTATCTTGAAATATAAAGGCACATTTAGATTGCCAGTTTAACAGGCTTTCCTCCAGCCATGAGACTGCATGTTAGTAAGTCTCTATAAATCTCCATCAACCACTATTTCTCCTGTGCTTTGGTAAACTGGGAAGTAGATGGTGCTGGCCTAACAGCTTTCTGAGAGGAAGTTAATATGCAGTGTTTTGTGGATTTCATGTAGGAAATAAGGACATCTGCCAATCACTCTCCCTCACATGAGACGTGGGGTTGGGAGAAGAGGTAAGGTCTGATTTATGGCTAGACTAGTGTCTATCTAGAGTTTAACCATTAGTTGATCCAGGGGGTGAATGGGAGCTTTCCATCTATCCTGTTTTACTCAAAAAATCCTCCTGTATCCCATGGGTGATCTGTGGATTATCCTTCTTACTTTTCTGTCTAACTCATCTGTCTCTTATTTGCTTGTCTGTCTCTCAAGTTGTTTCTTGCTCAAGTTCTCATTTTATCACTTGCATACTCTCTCCTATTCATTCATCTTTCTCCATCACATGTCGTTCTTATTATTCACCGGTTCTCATGCTTGCTGTATTGGTTACTCATGCACTTCTGTCACTTACTCGTATTCATTTGCCCTTTTTTTGCTTTCACTTGTCTGTATTGTGCAACTGTCTATCATTTTTGCTTGTCATTCTTGCTCATTTTTTTACTTGCTCATCTTTCTTGTTTTTGTTTGTCTATTTGTATTCTTTTTTGTATTCTCTTCTGTATTCTAGGAACTGCCGATAGAGATGGCTGATAGGTGCTAGAAAATAGTTCCCCGTTATCCAAGACCAGGTAAGTTTTGGCTTTTTTTTTTATGTGTCTAGTAGTCACACATGACAAAAGAGCCATATAATGTCTGACCTGTACTTGGTAAAGCACCACTCAGACATCATGCAGACAGATGCCTGATGTCTGAATATTCCTCCTGTCCAATCCAAAATAGGCTCTTCCTTGACTTAAGAGGAGAGTGCTTCCCACAGCAATAGAAAACAGTCAACAGGAGTTGGGCTAACCTGAAGCTTTACTTCATCCCCACGATGTTGCACGCTGTGTATATAGCAAGTCCTATGGTGGGAGAAGCTAATAAACACAATTATTAACAATTATGGATTGGATAAATGAAAAGTTTAGCAGCTCTAGGATGCTGGTAAAGAGAAGGTTCAGTTATGAGGACATTTCATTCAAGAATGAATTACTGAATTATTAGCCCCTATTATGGAGACGTGTGGATGTGCACTGGAGTACACAATGCAAGAATTTAAGTGATTTTTGTGCATATCAGAATCAGCACTAAAAGGACCTACTTACTAGAGCAGTGGTTCTCAACCTTTTTAATGCCGCGACCCCCAACCAGTCGTAAGTCGAGGACTACTCACCCGGTCGTAAGTCGAGGACTACTCAACTGGTGCAGCACCGTTTGCAGAATGGGACTTTTGGCGGGCTCAGCAGGGCAGAGACAGCCTGGACAATTCCTATTGGCTTTTGAAAGCCAATAGAATTAGACTCTATTCAAGAGAGTCTATTCTATTGACTTTCAAAAACCAATAGAATAAAAGGGAGTAGCACAGCTAAGGAAAAGGGGGAAAAAATGGCGGACTGCGTTGTTTGGTGACCCCCGTGAAATGGTCGTTCGACCCCAAATGGGGTCCCGACCCACAGGTTGAGAACCACTGTACTAGAGTATTATGTTAGACACTGTTTCGGGGTATCGGAAAGAACAGACCAAGAACAAATACTATCTTAAAAATTATAGCATTTTAGTTATATTTACCACATCTACAATGGATGCAGAGTATTTAAAACATAATCCATAATGTATTAAATCAGGACATTAATCAGTTTGTCAATGTCTCAGGCTGTAGAAGCTTGAACCTTTTAAACCTTTCTTAATAACTTCTGAACTGAAAAGATAGGTGTCAGCTTTGCTAATTTGGGTTATTTTATTAATTAAACATTTTCCTCAGATTTAGGAGAAGATATATAACAATTCTTAGTAATAAAACAAAAGGATTAATGATGTATCTTTTTAGCTACAACGATTAAATTGTGTTTGCATCAATGGTTAAGTCATTGAAAAAAAATGAACTTTTCCCCCTACTCATGTGCTTTTTTAATATTCTCTTTTGAGACCTCATTTTTTATTTCTTATTCTTTTCATTTTTGCATCTTTATAAACCTAGACATATACAACACAATTTCAAGAATGTAGAAGATATTACTATTTTGATAGCTACTTGAGAATGTGGGAAAAACAAGTGACTGGGAAGAATATAAATTTTAACAGAGATGCAAACAATGAGAGGATGAGAAATGAGATAGATATATTAAAAGAGGAAGAATGTGTATCAAAATCCTATTGCACTCTTAACGTGCAATTTTATTTGTACTTAATGATAATTAAGCATCACTAAAATTAGTGAGATTTCTTACAAGACATTAAAACAATATATTAATTTTATACAAAAGCAATAAACGAACAAGATCACTAAAAATAGCATGGTCTAAGGAATATCGTGATCTAGATTAAGTTAGGAAGTTTTACTTATAGATCACTTTAACAAAATGTTTAGGAAGCTCCTATATATAAAACTTTTACAGTCTTCATTGTGTTCTACATAACATTTTCCCCCCTGAATTAAAGCAATGACAGCATCTATATTAATGGTTCTTACTGTTTGATCCAATCACCCCTTTTCCCAGACTCCAATAATATTGTCACTCTGCCTCTCCAGAAAAGCCAGACCCTGTTGTTTTACACAACCACCCTGTCCATGGCAGTCCCAAACTGGATCTTGGATTCATAAACCAGCAATTACAAACTGCTCCATTATCTTTAGAATATGCCCACATCACCATCAGTTTAAGAACCACTAATCCATGTTATGCCGCATCTGTATAGAAATGACTAGCTGATCTTACTATTTTATTTCAGCTAAGGTTAAAAAATTAGAATAGATGCCGGTTTTAAAGTATTGCTTCCAACAATATAGTTGAAGCTACTTATGCACATGCCAGGATCTAAGAATTTAATCTTGGCACATGGCAGGTAACCTAATGCCATTTCAGCCAAGAATTGTTATATTACATTTACCCACATAATCTTAGGCTCAAGAGGAAAGGACTTCACAGAGCAGCTTTCAAATGGCTTTTCAAATCTTACCCTTCTGCTTATCTAGATGATTAGCCTTCATCTCCCTGGAAAGATAACCTATATCCAATTTTTATGTAAAGTGGAGGAATGAGGGGCCCAATTAGTCTCATGAAAATGTAGTACATTTACTATAGATCTAAATGTATAAAAGATAATGAAAGCACATGAAGTTCAAGGAACACAATAAAAGAAAAAGAAAATGATAAATTCCTGTGAGTTGTATGTCTGTGTGGAAAGATGGAGGGGAGTGGGAGGAAAAAGAATGGCCCTTCTTTTCTAAAGGCTCAGTAAGCACACCAGAATGTCAGTGGTGAATTAGCAGAATGATAGAAAGGCACAGCCTATATGTTATTAAACAGATTACTAAGTTACAAGTTACTAAGTGTCACAAAAGGCAATGAGGGGAAGGGAAAATTAGGTTCCTTGTCAGCATTCATGACACAAGCAATACCCAACCACATTATGTACAATAATGTACACAGACTGTAGAGATAGCTACAAATCCACTGCTGGAACTGGGGAAATGTAACATTTTGCACAATTGAAATATAATCTTGACAGAAAAATAAAGTACACTTATGATACTAATGCGTAGTACTTGAAACATAACTGTCCTTTATTCCAGACTGGCAAATTTGGAAATGTTCATTAGAAGAAGAAGAGGAAGAGGAAGAGGAAGAGGAAGAAGAAGAAGAAGAAGAAGAAGAAGAAGAAGAAGAAGAAGAAGAAGAAGAAGAAGAAGAAGAAGAAGAAGAAGAAGAAGAAGAAGAAGAAGAAGAAGAAGAAGAAGGAGTGATATGAGGAATTGTGACTAAAAACATATATTTTCCTTTCCCTTCTAGTTTTCTTTGTGAGAAAATAAGGTTTATGCTACATGCTATGATAGATGGTGACCAACTTTAGTAGCTTAAAATCAGGCTTTGTGTGGCAAAGAAGAAACCATATACCAAAAGTTAAGTAGTTCCAATTTTGCACAGGGAATTTGAGATCCATCAAAAGATGAAACAGGTGTTTTGAGTCTCTGCTAACCTAATGGTGTAATTTTGTTCCTTAAAATGTGCAACCTCTGGGGACTGGAAAATATTAATCTTATTAAATTGTTAGAGAGCAAGAATTTTAAGACATAAGCATATATTCTGAACTTTCAGTGATAACAGGAATCAAAGAATATAAGCAATAGCAATAGCACTTAGACTTATATACTACTTCACAGTGCTTTACAGCCCTCTCTAAGCAGTTTACAGAGTCAGCATATTGCCCCCAACAATCTGCATCCTCATTTTACTGATCTCGGAAGGATTGGAGGCTCAATAAAGAAAAAACTGCCATCAGTGGAAAATTATAACTGATTCATAGCTGGACACAAAATGATTCTAGATCAGGGGTGTCAAACTGCTGGCCTGCGGGCTGGTTTCATCATACCAAAGCTGCGTCCACCCCATTGCTGGCAATGCAAAAAGAGTCGTGATATGTCACGACACGTCACGTGATGTGGTGAGTTTGACACCCATTTTCTAAATGCTTAAAGTTGGGTCAGCAAAATTCAGGATCTTACTTGACAGGAATTATATCTGCAGTGTGAAATAGATGTCATTTGTCTATGTATTCTCCCTTTATATGTACAGGAGGGAGATACTGTATTGAATAGTGGGTGGTATAAAATACTAATCTATGATATGATTTTCCTATTCATGAAGAATTGTAGCCTTGCTATATTTTTCTCTTTCAAACAGAATGCTGTAAGTTGCTGACATAAATATGGTAAGAGAAAAATCACTCCCACTCATTAGGGCTCCATGGCCAAAATAATCAGTAGCAGGAATTGTGCTTTCTTTGGCAAGAGAAGAAAAACTCACATAATCCACTATCTTATGCTGTTTATTTTTTTAAAACCAGTCTTCTGGTTTCAAGAGAAATTATAATATTTTTAGGCACTGCAGCAGAAAAGACAGGGTAGCTAAAACATGCAGAGAATTTTTTTCTTAGAAATTACAATTTAGAGCCATGTTGGCGCAGTGAGTAAGGCATCAAGCTAGAAACTGGAAGATTGTGAATTCTAGTCCTGCCTTAAGCCCAAAGGCAGCTGGGTGATCTTGGGTCAGTCAATGGCAAGCCATTTCTGAAATCTTTCCAAGAAAACTGCAGGAACTTGTCTAGGCCATCACTAGAAGTTAACATTATCCAGAAGGTACCAAAAAGATTGCAATTCAGCAAATAATTTTAAGGCTTTAATTTATAAGCTTCATGACAATGTACTTAAAATGTGTAAGGTTACTATACTATATATTTCTTCTTGAACTTTCAATCCATTAACCTCATCTCCCAATCTTATTTCCTTGTTAGAAAAATAAGCCTCTTCAGTGCTGTCTCATGAGAATATTTAAGAGAATCTAGATTTAGTGAACAATAACTCTGAACTTCAGTGATAAAGCAGCTAGTAAATTAATAAGAGCACAGGGAGTCTATTTCATCATAACCTTACAAGGATGAAAATATGTTTCCTACATCCAGGTTTGATTTCCAAACACAAATCAATATTAAAATGTTAGCATAAATGTGATCTTATTTATAAACTAAAAGTCATTTATATTATCTGAAAACCAGCTATTGCAGTTTTACCTACATCAAGTTTCTAGTAGGGACTTTTTAATTATGAACATTTCAGAGATAACATACAGGGCAAAGCTCTGAAAATCATACTTCTATGCCAGGATTCTGAACGAAATGAGACATCATTCAGGCTAATAGGAAAAGGTGTCTTGCTCTCAAGAGCAATAATTTTGTATATTTTGGTCTTTGGAGAAACATCACTCCTTTGGCTAAGAAAAAGGAAATTGCCTTATTTAAACGTGTGTTTATCATTTTATAAGCATGAAGTAAATATAAATATGTGTTTAAAAATGTTCCACCAATTAATAGTGAGGTTTTTTTCAGTTGATTAATTTTATTGTGTAATCTGACGAATCAATTGGATGTCACCATCGTTGAAATTGTGTTTTTCGGAGCCATAAGCTTGCTGGACTTCCTAACATATTGCCAAATGTTAAAAAAAAAACAAAGCTAGGAGCCTCTTCAGAAACAGCCTCGCTGTCAAATGACAATACAGGTAAACCTTGATTTACAACAGTTCGTTTAGTGATTGTTTGAAGTTATAATGGCACAGAAAAAAGTGATCTATGACCATTTTTCACACTTAGGACTGTTGCAGCATCCCCATGGTCACGTGATTTACATTTGGATACTTGACAAGTGGTTCTATTTATGACAGTTGTCATGTCCCCCGGAGTCAAGTGATCCCCTTTTGCGACCTTCTGACAAGCAATGTCAGTGGGGAAGCCAGATTCACTTCACAACCGTATTGCTAATTTAACTGCAGCAGTTAATTTAACTGTGGCAAGAAAAGTCGTAAAATGGGGCAAAACTCACTTATATTTCTCACTTAGCAACATACATTTTGGGCTCAACAGGACTACCTGTACAATAAATCGAGGACTACCTGTAAAGAGGAAGAGTTGTGCCAACCAGGAGTATTGGGGGCTCACTTCACTTGAGACAGTCTGCTGCAAATATAATGTGACAGCCCCCACCAACACTCAATTCCAAGCGTTCACCCAAGATGGCATGGCTCCATGCTGAGGCAAGTGATTGATGGTTGTTTCCCTGCCTGCAGGGAAGGGGGAACAAGCCCAAGAAATTCCCTATCTTGCCCCACATTAAACCAGTCAGGATAGCCCCAATCAATGGCCTAGTTCTACTGGCAGAATCAGAATTAGCCAAAAAGGGAAAACGGGTTTAGGCCAGAATGCTTTTCTATCGCCTCAAGTACTGCAGGATAACATTTAATCGGGGCCTTCTGACTGATCTGAGAAACTATTTTTCCACATAAGTACACTGGAAGACAACGAATTCCACCTAAGTTATTCTGGAACTGGGATAGTCCTGTGGCATTTCAAAGGCGCCTTGCCAAGGACGCTGGATTTCAAAAGGAGGTCAGGCATCTTCCCACCATTTCTTGGCAGAAGCGTCAGCCGCCGGGCATACCGCATCTACTCAGGCTTCTCATTTTTCAGCAGCCGGGGCCACTCACCTGCAGGCCGTCGTCCTGCAGCGGGCAGGCTCTCTATAGGGCTGTTGTCTTTCCCCGAGGAAAAAACGGGGGCCTCCATGCCGTTCGCCAGGCTTCACTCCTACTTATCCCGGCGCTGCACTCCATGCAAGTCCGAGGCACAACGCCGCGTTCCCTCCCGCGCGAGGCCCATACGCCTCAGCGAAGAAAAGCGCTCGCGCGATGAGGACGCGGAGAAAGCAGCTTGGATGGTTTGGACTGTCCCGCGTTTTGCTAAACTCCGTGCAACTACGGCTTTTCTTTTTTTGAAAAAGCCCAATACGAGTACCACAAAATCTGATTACGCGCTTACAAATGGAAAGAGTTTGCACTTAAATACCAAACCAAACCAAACCAATCACTAGTTTGGTGTTTACTGTCGCCTTAACGAGGGAAAGGTAGAAAGAAGCTGTAATAGTAAACCTCTCTAATCCTTTGAGAAGTAATGCAGTACTTCCGTCAACAGAAACTGTGTTTTTATTTGGGGGAGGGAGTTGCGGGGGGTCCCCTGGATAATAAATCATGATAGCGCTGCAACCTGCATGGAGCAAATTTAGACAGCTTCTAGTGGATATTCGTGTTTATTCCACAAAGGTGCAACGATCTTAATAATCACCCTGGAAACTTGAGTAGAATAGAGTTAACTTCTGAGGTAATTCCACAGGTTTGTAAAGAAAGGCACGCAGCAAAGTTGTCTATAGCGAGAAACAACTTTTTGCTCTACAGAGAGGAAGTAAACCTACTTTATGGCCAGTGTACTTTCTATGCTATTATATTTGTGTCATAACAAATGAATTTTTTAAAGTGTTCAACTCGTCCTGCTCTTTCTTCCAACTAACTTTATCCTCAACCATGTGAGGTAGGCTATTTGTTCATTGTTAGATTTATAACCACATTTTCTTCCTGTATCTCAGAGCAATGTGTATAGTAGTCCTTCCACAGTGACCCCTGCCCTCTCATCCTACATCAAACAAGTCTGAGGAAGATTGAGCTGGGAAAAATTGACCCAAGACATTTAGCTTCAATGGCTAAAGATGGCTTTGAACCTCGGGGTTTTTAATCACCGTTAGAGGTCATAGTCAGAAGTCTTTCCATCAGTTTTCTACCTACAATATTACACTGAAACAGCATTAATCTACTTAGAAAATCCATATTTTCTACTAATGAAAATGGTCCTTGATCTGAAATATCAGAAGGTTGACAATGGGGAAAAAGCAACCAAGCATCTGAAGAACAAAGTCAATATGCAAAAAATACAGTGAAGATGGAGAAGATTCTGAAAAGCAGGTAGAATTAATAAAACAATTTCAAACAAATGATCCTTTGTGTTATCCTTATTATAAACATACAGTTTAATAGAGTTGTTCTAGAAAAATCTTTCATACTTAGTTGGGTAGGGGGGTTGATAGAAACTGTATTGTAGTGCATTTGGAATTCACATTGGAGAAGGATGCTTCAAAATTACATATTTAAAATTTTGCTTCCATCTTACTCCACATATATTGTTTTGCTCATTGACACTATTGTTTTCTTTTTAATGAAAGATAAACATTTTGATGTTTTCACTTTGTACTGTGTAATCAATTATAATGAATTTGTAACTTGGTGCCTTATAATCTTGATAATTATGATGACAGAAATACAATTCAAATATACACAAGCTCTTTAGATCTCAGTTTGCAACTGTAGGTGGATCTATTGAATCAGAATGCTTAGGGAATAATGAAATGTTTCTCTAGGAACTTTTCAAAATATCCCAATTTGGCTTCAAGCTTTTCCATTCAGTTGAATTCCCATTAATATGGCTCAGAATATATGAAACATGGTACTTCTGTTTCATTTCTAATCAAAGAGGAAAATATTTTTCAGGAAGCTAAACAATTATGCTGTTCTCTTTGAATGATTGGTGAAGCAATAATGCAATTCAGTAACTGTCTAATCCAGACATGTCAAACACAAGGCCCAGGGGCTGAATGCGGCCTGTGAAGTGGTTTCATGTGGCCCGCGAAGCCATCCTGGAAACAGTGAGGGAACAGCCTCCTCTGCCTTGGCCCTGGCCGGGAGCCAATGTACAATTTTGTGGTGGCCATCTAGGCTGAAACGCATTCAGTCTTAGCTCCACAAGGCTGTCCAGAAACAGCGAGGAACCAGCCCTTGCTGCGTTGGCCACGCCTTCTAGGTGCATGCTGGGGAAGTGTCACCCTTTGTGAGGAATGAAGAAATGCACCATGCCTTGGTGCTTGTCCCGGTCCCACCCCCTTCTGCCAGAGAACCTCAGATCTGTCCCACTCCTGCCCAGACCCCCACAGGAACCCTTGATGCGAACGATGTAGAGCCCACCCAGTAGGCCACACCCACTCCATCCACACTCACCCAGTAGGCTGCACCCACCTGGCCCCCCAAGGGCAACCGCAATACTGATGCGGCCCTCAATGAAATTGAGTTTGACACCCCTGGTCTAATCCAATAGCTCATAATAGCATTATCTAAATAATAATATAATACAATATCCATTTTGTGATCTATACTTGCTTTATTAATGTGCTTTCTCACAACACTTTCTTGAAAGTGTGATATACAGCATTACCTAGTCAAAGTGTAAAACAATGTGGGTTTGCATAGCATACTAAGCCATGTTGAACTATGGTTAATTATGATTTGTTGAATACCATTATTGGGTTCACACATACTTGCTAAAGATATAAATCACAGTGGCTAAATTTAAACGACAAAAATTAAACTACATTGTGGAAACAGTTATATGAGGAGCAGAATATTCTGTGTAAATTATGCTATAGCTATAGTTGGCCACTGGCTGAGGAATTCTGGGAGCCATAAAGTTACCATATTTGGAGACCTCTGTGCTATAGCATTGAAGGTGCTATAGGGTCTTCCATGAGTTATAAGCTTACTATTTTCTGAACAATCTTCTCTAAAAAGATGGAAAAGGATATGGATACCCCAAAAATAAAACTGAGAAAAAGAGGAGTCTTTTCCATCATATCTTTGGGACTACAAATTACAAAGTGTAAATGTCATTCTTTTTTTTTTCAGTAGCCTATTTGAGCAGTAACTTTAACCTTTATGGCATGAGGAATATTATCTTTAGAAATTGCTCCTGATGGAGATATTAGAGGTACAGGTAGCTATTAAAAAATCTGGTTTTAATAAAAAGGTCAAGCCTATGTGTGACTAAAACTTTATTTTTGACTATTTTAGTACTTCAGTCTGGATTCCAGGAGCATTTTATTAAGGGTTCACAAAGAAAAATGCAAAACTATGATTGAAGTGAATGTGTAATTTTTTTGTCTTTATTGTCTTGGTAGAATATGACATTTTAGCCCTTAAAGCCCACTTCAGAAAATTGTTTTCTGTATACCATCATCTCAGGCGACAGTCTTTATATTTCTCTCAAACTTTCCTAGTTTAACTACTACAAATTGTGTGCTCTCTTATTTGAGAAAAATGATTTCTGACGATCCAGGTCATTTTTCCTCTCTGGGGAACACATCTTTTTCTGAAGGAAGGTACACATCGACCTACCTTCCCATAAACTATCTGTGGGAATAGAGTTTCTGGAATTCAGCTTAAGGAAAACTGACACAGATACCACAAAAGAAAGTGCTGTGTGGAGAAATTCACACTTGCACAAACACAAGGGCAATGGGGAATCGGCAAAAGAGATCCTCATGATTAGAATAGAATATATCTGTCACATCTCCTTACATCATGGCTAGAGTCAGCATCCCTGTGGAGTTTTGACCCAGGAAGATGAAGTCATTCTTTCCATAACATCTATTTGCATCAGGTGGGCACAATAGCTAGTATAATTTTAAGGGGTTTTTTTTCACGATGAACATTAGACTGGTTTTTGCATTTCCTTCTTCCACAAGACATTGCTTAAGTGTTCCCTGCTTCCAGCCACCAAACTGGTATCCTCAGCAAAGCTGGAGTTGATAATATTTCTTACAGCAATTTCCAATTCCAGTTTCTACTCAGCATTTCTCATAATATGCATATAAATTAAATAGGTAGAAAATATATAGTATTGATGAAAACCTTTCTCAGTTTTGAACTGTTTTCTTGCTTATATATTTTTTTTAATTGATAGAGAGATCTAATTGTTAAGATGGCGGGTGCCTGGACCGTCTGTGGCTGCATTGGCTCTCGAAGGTGAAAAGTTTTTGGAGGAATATAAGGAATATAGGCCACATGATTGGGAAGGTTTTAATGTGTTTGAGCAATGTAGTGGGATTAAGCTAACATACGATCGACAATCTTTGCTGGTATGGCGAGTTTTAAAGCTGTTTTGGAACTGTTGGTGAGACCATTAAAAGTCATTTGTGCTGTTTTAAATTGTTCTGCCGGCAGCAAGATCTGACTGCTGACACAGCGACGGATTCTATTGCAAATCAGGGCTGTTTCCGAAGGAGGCAGAGGAGGAGAGATCCTGGGGCTTATGGAGCAAAGGAACTGGATGAACCTGTCAGCAGGCCCAGAGGAAGGGAGAGAAGCTTTTGGAGGAGTTGTAGGCGGTGGCAGTGTGCTCCAGGGGCGAAAAGGAACAAAGCCCCTTTAAGGAAAAGGTAGAAGAGACAGGATCATAAAAAGAAAAGGAGGCGAGATTGTCATACAGGAATACAAGCTAATTTGAGGGCTAATCCACATGGAGCTCCGTTTCCATCTGTCCTGTTTGCCATCGTTCGCTCCCTAGAGACTAAAATGGATACTCTGAAACTTGAGCTGGCCACGAATAAGGCGTGTATATTAGAGGTGGTGACCCTTTGAGAGCTGTATGCAACGAAATTTCATTTTCATGTATGCCGATTGGGGTACATTCAAAGTGACAATAAAATAGTTGTTATTATTATTATTATTACTTTATTATTATTATTATTAGTAGTAGTAGTAGTAGTAGTAATAGTAGTAGTAGTACACTTTTTTTTAAAAAGGGGGCTATCTATAGTTTGTTGGTTGCATGCAAAGGATTTAGTATAATCTAGACATGTCAAACTCGCGAGGTCACGTGACATTGCGCAACATATCGGAACTTTTTCCCCATTGCTGGCAATGGGGTGGGGGCGGTTTTGTGACGCATCCGGCCTGCAGGCCAGCAGTTTGACACCCCTGGAATAATCAATA